TGGACCTCTTGATGGCAGTAATGTGAAACCCTTCCTTTTAATGAGAAGATTGAAGGTGGGGTCGGTAAGTTGTTCCTGAAACACTTTTTTGTATCTTATTTGTTGAAATCCTCTTCATGTCCCGACAGCTATCAATAAATAAAGTAGTCTGAAAAAAAGTGTTTCTGTGGCCCTCACAGGACGGAATAAACATGACCAATCATTTTTTTGGGACCAAATGGTGGCGTACCTGTCTGTGACTAACCAACCTACCTACCTGCAGCCTGCCTGTGCTTTCACTTAGCATGACCAGAGTGGAGAGAGACACACCACAGAGACTACAGGGAGAAGTAGTCAGAAAAGTCTTCTTCTAGCAGTTGTCAGTGCATGTTCATAGGAATTGAGGGTGTAGCTTTAAAGAGAAGACCAGTGAATGGGATGGGATGTATCTGATGCATATTTCCAAGTATAGGCTGCTCTTGCTAGCTGTTCTGGGATTAACCCTGTAGATTTAACAGGATAGCAAAGTAGAAAAGACAACTCAAACTTAACTCAATTATAACACAAAAAAATGTTTTAATCATTTTTCCATCTTCTAATCAATGAAATTAAACAATCTGGTAAGGTTTTCCTCATCAACTTGCTCAAATTTTGACATAGCAGCAGAGGCATAGGTCGAACTTATAAAAATTTTTACTCAAGTGTTCAAATCGTCCAAGACAGTAATGGTTACAAACAGTATATATAACAGTATAATACCAGGGAGAAGCTGGAACCATCAAATAATCTGTGCTTTTTCTATCACAACAACTGAAACGACATCATTTTTCTTTTAATTGAATAATTTATTAACCAACTAATTGCAACAACTCTACCAGCCACTGACACAGCGGCAAAGCATTTGAGCTCATGCGCTGAATCCTTTGTGTGTGTGATTAATGTGCATGTGTGTGTGCATGACATGAAACATACCTATACACCACCTCTTTAATGAGCTTGTTCATTACCCTGACATGTAGCACAGCAGTCTTACATGTCCAGGAGAGTCAATAACACCATTCATGTGTGTCAGCATCACATTTACACATGAGACACTCGATTGACCCAGTCGAGCTGAGCCATTAAGATGACAACGTTTGCGTGCATCCAGTAATGGCATAGCAGCAGCAGCATAGTTGCAGCAGCAGCAGCAGACATAGTCGTCACTATGTCCCCACTAATAACTTACACTACAGTGGGCATGTTGATCTCAGGTGGGGGGCGGCTGGGCTTCAAAGGTTACTGTATCGACTCAGAGCTCCAAAGTTTTTTCAGGAGATGAGTGAAAAACTTCGGAGGAGTCAGGGTGGCCTGCAAAGCTCCCTGGGGGGGGATGTAGATGACCTAAAAGGAACACCCACACAGAACAAAATGAGCTCATGTGTTGTTCTTACCCACACACAGGAATACAACATACACACACAGAGATGAAGAACAACACACACACTGTCAGTTAAAAATGAATAAATGGCACCAGGAACTAATTTTTAGTTTGACCGTGATGCAGCCACACCACATTCTCTTCATCCAATTGATTTTAAAAGGAGATCTTTAGGATCTTACAAATGGCTTTGTCTTGTCTTGTATAGAGAGAACAGAGCGTAACAGTGACGGCTCTAGTTCTAGTAAATTTTCCCTTCCTTTTCTCTATTGATGTTTCAGAAAATCCTTGTAAAAAGAGTTTAAGCCTGGAACCAGGCCGACCAGCTACGAGATAAATCTTGACCATGAAGCATTTAATTTGGAGCAAAAAAAGGCAAAGCTGCAGGACTGTATATATAATTATTTTAATTAATTCCTTTGTGAATGATCCCTTTCTAATGACTTCCAACACTTCTTCATAGAATTAACTGATTTGAAGTGATTTTCACCCTTTGGACTCTTTTCCTTATTTCTAAACACGTTAGAAAGAAAAATCATGTTTGCTTTGTTCTGATCATAGCATTGCAATGGTTGTGGTTAACATTTCCATGGTAACAGAGAGCTCCATCAATCACCACTGTTACACCTGGGTATGGTGAGTAATGTAGTTTTTCTCCTTGACATTGCAAAAAAAAAAAGTTTTTCTTAAAACATTTTTGATATCTTACAGACTTATGGCTTCTAAAGGAGCTCATGACATTGATTCATAATCTTGTAGATAAATACAGAAGGAGCTTTGAAGAAATGTAGGCACGAGACAGTTGCTTGGAACCTTAAATACACATTGGCAGTACACTTCACTGACGCAGTCTAATACAGCAGGAAATCCTACCTTCATGAGGGGGTTTTAAGTGTATCAAGGAGGATTTGTTTTAAGTTCGGAGAGTTATTTCTGTTTCTGCCCTTTAGTTTACCCTCATTGACAAAAATGGGATAGACAAAATAATAAAAAACCTAATGCGAGACAGTTCCACAGCACTACAAACCAGCAAAATGGTCTGAAAGTTGAATCAGCACCTCTCTATGTTTAATCGATTTTAACGAAAGCCAGAAATTTATGGTTTTCTTTTTATGCTTTGCTTTTTTATGATTGGCCACTCCCTAAAATTCTTGCATTTTACACTTTCGTATTTGCTGCACATTGTAAATAAATATTACAATTTTTAAAGGTTAGGCACTTTCTATTTTAACTTCACACTTTCTTCTGGTTCATCAGTGAAAATGAAAGAGTGATTTTACTAACCAGTAGTCTCTGAACTCTGAAAGTTAGTTTTACTTGAGGCTTGAAGGACTAAAAAGAACGAGTGCAGCATGGGGGAATGCATGAAAGCAATTTCTCTTTCTTCATTTATAGTCTTTCATGACCTGCTGGTCGAACACTGAAAACAAAGCTTAAAGTTCTGGATGGAAATTGAAGTAGCTGAATCTGGAATGAAAAGTTTACAGAAAGATGTAATTCTATGATGAGTCTGTGGTCTATGTTTCCAGCTGTCCAGTTTGGCTGCACATATGCAGGTGGAGAAGTGATGTAGATATGGCTGGAGACCCGGCAGCTGTCTTTTCAGCAGTGATTTAATGTCTGACATGGGTAAGCCTTGTGGCTCAATAGCACTAAAAGGCTCATCCTGTCTAATGGGGTTCCTCTATGACGCAGACAAGGACAGGCAACCCCTCCCCTTCTTTTACACTGACATATAATCTTACACGTACACACACACACATACACACACATCCTGTACATCCATTCATTTTGTGCAGCATGCAGAGATTTTGAGTGCACACATATAGACACAGATGCACACACATACTTGTCTATGTACACACAGGGGTTGGTGCATATGTACACGCACACACTCTACCCTGCACCCTAATGATAAGGAATGGAATTGAGACGATGGTGCACGACAAACAGTTGTGTAATTGCTTTTGAGAAACGGCTCTTGTCAGAGGCTGTCATCGATTGATCTTTGCTGAGGACAACTTGTTTACTCGGTGTGTGGGAGGAGGCAGGCAGCAGTGATCATTACTGGACCGACTGTGGTATCACTTTATTAACTTAATATGGTTTGATGTTTCAGTGTGGTGGGGTGGGAGACTGTCATGGTTATCTCAGGTTTTATTGCAAACTATAATAAACAATACACATTGTGAGCTGGAGAAGATGAAAACTGCTCGGTGCTTTGTAGTTTTGAAAGTAATTTAAGAGTTGACTCATATGTGAAGTGCCAGAAGTTCAATGTGTGCAGTGAATCACATCATATTGCTGCAAATTCAAATCAATAACAAGCGGATTACATAAGCAGATTGTGGATGGACTATACTGAGCTGAAGCAAAGTGGGTGTCGTGCTGGAGTTGGTGCCATCCAAACAGCATTATATGAATGAAGAGCCGGGGAGTGCGTCACTGTGTAGTATACGTCCCTCCCCAGCAGATGGCCCCGCCTGCAAGTGCTTAGCTGGGTGGGTGGTGGTGGGGTCGGGGTGGGGGCCTTATCGATTTGGCATTTGAGGTGCAGCATGCGATGTTACATTTTTGGAAGGTTTTTAAAAAATATATTTATTGCTGGTGATGCTTCTCCACAGCCACCAGTTTCCTTTGCCTCCTACTTAATTAATGACATCAATGCAAATTGGGGATAGGAAATGATCAAAATGACTGGTGGATTTTGTGAATGGAGCACTTAGTGACTGAGGAATGACGTCAGCGCAGAGCCCATATCCTTCATAGTGAGCCAAGACTGAGGAGAAGGCATCCCATTGGTTCACCGTGGCATCAGAGCAACGCGATTGGCTGCCGGTGGATAATTAAACACCTACACAGTCAATGCACAAATCCAAGTGGTGGGATATATAGGCTGGTGCGTTGGCGCTGCATGCAACAGAATCAAGAGTTGTTCTGCAAGTTGAGACAAAGTCAACTTATTGTGTTTTGCATAGAGATACATAGATTTATTTATTTATTTATTTATTTTTTGCTGGGTGATTATCGCTGAAGGTAAGTGTTGACTTTTTATATTGTGTTTGGCAAAGTGTTGGGGTGATTGTTTGACTGTTTGCATGTGTGTGTGGATCCGAGGAGATATAGACAGAGTCACTGCGTTACACCACGGTGACGTGACTGTGTTTGCAATGAGATTGGAGTGTGGCCACTGGGGTCACCAGTATCGCCAGCAGCCACTTTGTGAGGGTCAAGTCTGCAACTAGAGAAGAAGCCCAATGACTGAGAAAGAGGGAGATACAGAGAGAAAGAAAGTGGATGAAAGAAAGAGCAGGATCAAAAATGAGAAGAAGCTGCAATGAAGAACAGCAAGTAAAAGAGAAAGGAGAAGGAAGAGATGGAGGTGACCAGGTTTAAGTGTGTGTGTGTGTGTGTGTGTGTGTGTTTGTGAGGGAGAGAGAGGGAGTGCTGGCAGCTCATTACACTAATGCACTGGTCCCTCAGGGAGTTGGCGAGCTTGGAGTCTCCCCCCCTTCCCTTTCTCTCCCTTTCACCCCTCCTCTTCTAGCGCTATAGCAAGTGCTACATGCATCACACAGTTAGGATCCACCACCTACCCATACACAAACACACACACACACACACACACTTGCTCCCACCTGCAGACATGTCTGAGTGCTGAGGCGTACAACATGAGAGAACTACCTGTCCTGTGCTCATGGCTGGATGTTTTGGAGGAACAGTGCGTGTTGCAGAAGAAGAGCAGGGGGCACTGTTATCTGGCTCAGGTCTGACGGAGTGTAAAGTAAAAGTGAGGAGGTTCAGCAGGAGACCAGAGCTAAATAGTAGCAAGCTGAGATGTGGGTAGAGCTGAGCTCACCTCTCAGCAAAGAGCTTTTTCTTTTCTTTCTCGTTGCAAAACTTCTTCCGAAAAGAGGATCAGCCACTTGCATGTGTACTGTCTATGTGTTGAATTTTAGGTGACTTGAGAACTTATCTCAGTGGTGTGAGGAGTGTGAACATAAGCAGCTGATGGGCATGTCTTTCTCACTATGTAGGGGACCATGGTTATGTTGAAGATCTCTGCTTTCCTTGTTGCCTACGCCCTGGTCATTTGCCAGATGTACTGCTCACAAGCCGCCCCTGCCAGGTGAGAGACGCTCAACATTCACATGTCACACTTCACTTTCTCAGCCGACATCCTTTTTTTACAGCAACGTGAAATGCATGGACATGTAGACAGGATTTAAAATCCTGAATCTCTAACAATTACAAAGGAGGGATTGGAGAGGTGCAGGCAAAAGGAACCCCCCACCCCCACCCTCCGAAAAAAATGTGGTAAAGGGTTTCAAGTAGAGTTTTCTTTCTTTTTTTGAAATATATATATATATATATTTATTTATATATATATATATATATATATATTTATTTATAATTATTTTCAGTGCTGCTAGAAAAATCGAAAGAACTGGGGAAGCACTTGTCTTTGAATGAACGTAAAGGACAGACTGACACATTCATAATACACATATATCTACAGTAGGTATTACAATGAGAAATAATGTGCACAAGCACACACATTGAGTATAGCCTGTGTGTTCTAAACCTAATAATTCATGAAACTAAATTCTAGGCTCAGTGTCTTATGTTTATAAAAAAATTGAAATCTCATAAGTGTAATTTTCCTGTTTAAAGTTTGTATATCCTGTTATGCCTGTAATCTGACCGGATGAATCGAATATCAATTTAACTGTTTGAATGAAAGAAACAAAATAGGATCAAAAAAGTTGAAAGAGATGAAGGACAAAAAGTACAATTGACTTCAAGAGTTAAATGCAGCCTATACATTTATAGGAAGCTCCATTCAAGCCACTCCTCATTCTGTTCCTATGAAGCTATCGATTTAGTAATAAATCTAACGCCGGCTGCTCATCAGCCCCTCTCTGCGATGGGGCACTTTCTGCAGATTGTTTCCCCGCCTTGGCTGGGGGCCCTCCAACTCAGACGTCATCCCCCTCAGACGTCAGTCCCAGCAAACCCCCCCTGACCCGTCCTATCTATCCAGCCAGTGCAGTCCACCAGCACCCTGCCCCACCCTGACACCCACTTGCACATCACCCCCCCTGCCTTCCATTTAACTGCAGGTGATAATTCTAGCAAAGGATTTAATACTGATCTCAATGTCTGTCCTCCCCCAACCCCTCTGACCCCTAAACCTCCCCTTTTCCCTCCATCCCTCCCTCCACTGCACAGACCGGGTTTAGAGTCCATGTCAGACCGAGTCACGCTCACGGACTACGAGGCGCGAAGGTTACTCAACGCCATTGTGAAGGAGTTTGTGCAGATGACAGCGGAGGAGCTGGAGCAGCAGGCAACTGAAGGAAACAGGTACAGATGACTCCTCTTTATTTTAACCCTTTGTGATGGAGTTTTCTCTCCGTACACAGAATGAGCCGCTGGAGGCTAGAACTAATAGAAAGGTAACCAAACTTCTTTGGCAGAAATAAAATGGTAAAACTCACAGCTCGTTTTTGGGCTGCCGTGTTGGACCTTATTCCGGAACTGTACTGTTTTCTGGTTTCACTGAGGATGCGTCTTTGTAGGGCCCCACTTCAATCAGGCGTAGAGGTATGTACTTATCAGCAGAATAAAAGAGAGGGAAAATAGATCATTTCCGAGAATAGCTGCTAATACACTCAAAAGAAATCCCTATTCTCTGTCATGACCCTGCTCCTGCATGGATAAGTTTGATTTTAACTTTGTTTGAAGGGACTATTTCCAGCCTGCCTGCCGGGCATGTGAGCAGTGTATGCCTAACGGAACGAATAAATGTGCATGATGTCAATTAAATGGAGTTGCATGACAGTAGGAAGTGACTGGTTTCTGTTTGTTCTGTGGGTGTAAAAGATGTGACAAGAGGGGATTGACTGCGGGTGGGGGATGGAGGTTTCGGCGCATGAGGGGATGGATGACAAGTTCTTTGAATGATGCAAAGGGGATAGGAGCATGGTGCTGGTTGGGAAATGTTTTTATATTTTACTTTTCGATACCTCTGATGGCATGAGGAAGGAATGCATGTGAGAGAAACGGTGTGTAGATGGAAGATAAAAGAGAGACAGAGGTAAAGGAAGTGTTACCTGCATGTTTGTCCCATATCTATGAGCCTGTTCTCTGCATGTGTCTTTGTGTGTCCCCTCCCCGACAGCATGGACAGGCCCCTAACCAAGCGCTGCTCCAACCTCAGCACCTGCGTGTTGGGCAAACTGTCTCAGGAGCTGCACAAGTTGCAGACGTTCCCTCGCACGAACGTCGGAGCAGGGACGCCCGGCAAGAAGCGCAGTGCGCCTGAGAGCGACAGCTATGCAAGCTACGGCGAGACATTTGACAGCATCTAACCCCTCCTCATACTTTTACCTTCACCGCATCTCCTCCTCCCTCCCCTCTTTCTTTTTCTTTCCCCTCTCCACCTTCTCTGAACAGTTTTGGACTGGCAAGTGCATGTTGATTTTACCTGCTTGGTTGACATGAGAAGAATATGTCCTTTAACTGCAATCCCCCCTCCCCTTTTTTCTATTTGTTTTGGGCAGAGAATGATTTGTCCCCATCATTTCAGACAATCAGAATTAGTTTTCATAAATGTAATTCAGGAGCCGGTTCAGATGTCCATCTTTGTGTACTGTGCGTGGAGTCATTCGATGGCAATTCAAAAGCCCCTGAAATCTAGGAGTTGGAAGAGATCACTTAACTAAACCATTAATAAATGATCCATTCATGCGACACCATGTTTGTTGTTCAATAAACGTATTTTTCTACCAGGAAGCCTTAGCTCATTTTCATTCTTAGGGATGCTTTAAAACAGGCAGTGGGTATACATGTAGATAAAATGGACATAAATAGGGTTTTAGACTCACACATTTTCTCTGAGGCTCTCATCAAGTGCAAAGGTAAGAAAACAGAAAATATGTTTGATGTCTCAAAATCTGTTTTTTCTGTTCTGTGAAGATGATGTTGATAAAGAGTGTGTGTGTGTGTGTGTGGGTCTGTATATGAATGTCAGTCAGATTTTGGCGTTAATACCTTGTTTGCTCTTCTGAAGCAGCGTTACAGCACAGAAGCGAGCCTGCAACACAGCCACCTGCGTGACTCATCGCCTGGCGGACTTCCTCAGCAGGTCGGGAGGAATGGGCAACAGCAACTTCGTCCCCACCAACGTCGGCGCCAAGGCCTTCGGCAGGCGGAGGAGAAGCGTGCAGATGTAAGCACTCCAGAACCTTCATGGAAATGGTAAATACACACATCACAAAATAAAATATTTCCCCAAATTTTAAGCATTAATATTATATATATATATATATATATATTTATAAATTATTAATGGATACACATAATATTGGGCTTATCAACTTATGATTTGTAAATATAATAATTGTCAATTTTTCCTTTGAAATTCAAGTTTTACATTCAATGTCTTTTTGTCTTTCTGTCTTTCAGAGGTTGAAAAAAAACATCAGAAAAAAAACTGAGAACAGAAACCAACAAATACAAAATCAAGCAGAAAATAAACTCTGAACTGGCCCTTTATCCACTCTCACGTTCTTATGGAAAAAAGACACCACTGGACTTCTCGTCCCCATCTCCATCCTGTTAGTGAAATCTTTTGCTTTTGGCAAATAAGAGAAGAAAAAAATGAGAAAAAAAGCACTTTAGTTTGTGTACATGAACAAATGAACTCCTGAAGTAAAAAAATCATCCTTTATGGTTCCTCTTTTTTTATACATGACTATCATTGGAAAATAAAATGAAAACAGCAGTGGTTATCACCTATTTTCTTCCTCCTTTCACCTCGTTAGAGCACATTTCTTCCTTGCGATGTTTCCCATTTGAGATCCATGCTCCCCCCACCCCCCACCCCTTTCCTCTTGAGGGTACCCTGTTTTTTCTGTGTGCCAGAGGGACGCCATTAAAGATCAGCCTACCCAAGGCCCCCCCACAACGGCTGTTGTCTTGTGCCTTGATGTAGAACAATTTACATGAACATGATTGTACAGTTCGGTAAAGAAGACCCGAGCGAGGATGAAGAGAATGAAGACAGATTAATATTGTAAACAATATTGTGAAAACAAATTTCAGCAAGATTAAAATGTATTTTAGATACACTCGGGTTTGGGGTACTTGTGTTGTTCTTCAAAGGTTTACAAGCATTGACGCGCAGAAAGTGACAGTAGAGAGGCTGAAAAGCTTATATTAGTACATGAATTGTTGGAACATTAATTAAAAAATGGTCAATTCATTATAAACTATAAAAGGTCCTCACAGAAATAGAGTGATTTATTATTAATTGATTAATTATTTGATAATATTTTCCACTGACAGAAACACAAATATGTCGCACACTTGGCAAAATGAAATCCACAGTCACGCACTCTGCTGTTTCACAGTTTGGGTGACTTTGTATGCAGCAGCAGTGTGCAGGTATGATCACATTGGGAGTATTTTCTGACTGACACCAAAGCAGCATGGAGATGTTAAGATACATGACAATAAGGGGAAAATAAACTGCATGGGTCATTCATTCTTAATTAATATGAATAAAAAGCAGCCAAACCTGCTGTCGGACTTCTTCTTGCAGTGGAGGTAACTGCACAACACTCAAATAAATCTGAATCACAAAGGATTCTCATTTACACAAAGTGATTCTTCACATATGAGTGCAAACGTTGTACAATAGATGGTCTTCTTTTGGCATCGATGTAGAGACATCAAAAATGGTTTGAGTTTGACAGGACACAACTCTCACAGAATAATGCATTGCTCAAGCTGCCCTAACATACTGCACTCTCGTCAATTGGCAGACTTTTAATCATAAAATGTGCAGCCCCATGCGGGATCCAGGTTCACTGAACATTTTAGGGGTTCTCTTGTTTTTACAGCAGCACTCCAATAGGTGGCAATGTCATTATCCTGACTAAAGTTACAGTGGAGCACTGCAAGTCTCACTCGTCGGACCCACGTCACAAAAGCACCACGTCATTATCTGGGATAAACATGAAATCTTGAAACCCCTTCAGCAGGCGTTGTGATGCTGTCACATTTGGTTTATTCTTACAGCTGCAAAAGTTAATTTCAACCGTAAAAGAGTGAAAAATAAAAATAGAATAACACAAATTAAAACATTATGTATCCAGTGAGGTGTAATACAATGGCCTGTTGAACGCTCTATATGAGGCATATTTAGGAAATGGTCCTCCTGTGCTTCATACCAAGGAATTCTGGTTTTGACGTGTTTTGTTTATGTACGTTGCCTTCAATGCAGACAGTGGCTGCATGACAGTTACCTCCTAGAAGTCAGTGACTCACAAAGACCCACTTGCGGCCGACACACACAACACGTCAAATACACGCACCCCAAAAAATGCTGTGAGCTCAAATCCTGCATGGTCGAGCTGAGGAAATCCCTGACGTGCACTTAACCCTCATCTGCCTCAGCTAGAAGACGACTTCCTTCATGTTCTAGATGTCATCTGCACAACAATATAATTACACATTTCTATGTGTTCCCCAACAATATCACATTGTGTATCCACAGCCAGTGGTTTCAAATTATTTTAAGTACCATGTTTCCAGAAAAAAAAATCACACACAGGCGGCTAAAGAATCACTTGAAGGGAGGATAAATTATAGCCCCTCAGTTTTGGATGACAAAATATGGGATGCACATTTGGAAAATTGAGGGTATAATGAGCCCATTCAATAAGGGTGAAAGTGAAAAACAGGATGCACTTGATCCTATTTGCTTGCACGGATGGATGCCAAGCATGCACCAGAGCAAATACAGGATATTTGTCACTATGTGCAACGCAACCGAGCACACAAGAAATGTGAGCACTAAGAAAAAACTGTGTATTTCTGCACAACATTATATTTAGTTCAGATGAAAAAAAAAGAAAAACTGCAAACATCAACACCACACATGTCACACAATATAAATCACTTATCACTTAAAGCAACGAGAGGATGTGTATGACTAATATGTGAACTTATGCTCTTTGAATATAAACAGAACAAATGAATTGTGCTCTATTACCCATCAGGCCTTAACACCCTCATCAGTCAGTAGTTTTACTGTCTTTGCAGTCATCTGTCCCTCTCACTGTCTGTCTGTCTCACCATCTATCTCACCATCTCACTGTCTGTCTAATCTATTTGTCTCACTGTCTATCTATCTATCTATCTATCTATCTATCTATCTATCTATCTATCTATCTATCGATCTATCTATCAGTCTCACTATCTTTCAATCTGTCTGTCGGTCTCTCTCAGTGTTGAATTTGTAGCCATGCTGGAAACCACATGGAAACTTCTCCTGCATGGTTTAGAAGGAAAAAAGAAATACCCCTGCCCCCTCCATATTCTGATAATTGAGGAGGACGGGAGTTTGAGGGCTGATTCGTGGGTTGGTTTGGTTTTAAGCTTCTTTCTCCGCAGTACTCTAACAATCCCACTATGCCAATGAGGAACGCAGCCCTAATGATACACAGCTGCATTGAATATGGCCCTTCAAGTTTGAAATTAGATGGTTCGCAAAAGAGAAAACTGAGAAGCAAGCCCCCCATCTCAAGAGAGAAGATGTGCCACTGGTCCAGTTCCCAGAAATGTACACCACAAATGCTTTTTAAGACCTGGGGCTTTGGAAGAAGCTCCTTTTTAATGTTTTAACATTTTGGGGAAAATAGAAAGTCAAAAGTTATGACGTCAAATCCAGGGTGGCCTCTTTTCCACCCTCTCATCAGCCTGTCTTCCTGGACTTTACTTTCCTTGTCCACAAACAAACTGCCTTTAGCTGTAATACTTACTTTTAACAACTCAAACCTACGTGCTCTGTCTGCACATAGAAAATCTACTTGGGTCACTCTAATTTGGTGCAATCCAAATCTATAAAACTCATTCACTCTTCATCAAGATTTAACCTGCAATTGTCTAGGCCTTATGTGAAATTGTGTTTGTTCAAGGAACAAAACTGAACAAAGAATATTAAGCTGTCAAAAAACTACTGTCCTTATGTAGACATGTGCACTAAACCACACCTCCTGGCATTACAGAGCAATGTAGCATATGAATATTAGCTTCTTTCTTTTTTTTTACCTCACTCTCGCAGTGCCTGTTGCTTCGCCTGTGTTAATGCTCCAGAGCCACTTTAGAATTATTCTTTCTCATTGGTGAGTCTTCCTCAAACACGTCTTCAATATACTGTTACTGTTTAATGTTTGAGTGCTGGTGCTGGTGCAGAGTGAAGTTAGAAAACTTTGTGTTCACCCGGTTTATCTGAAATGAAGATTTTATAGTCAATCTTTGGGATCTTGTTGCCCTCTATATAATTTATAGATTTATTATTTTATCAGGTTCATCATACACTCTTCCCATAATCCCTTGACTATCAAGAGTTAAAAATCGTACCTTGACAACACATTGTGTTCCCCCTCGTAGCTCTGTGCTTCTTAAATTAGATCATGAGGCAAAGTTTTCATACTTTTCAGTGATGCAGTGAGGTATTACCTGCTAAAAAATTTGAAAACTCCTGAACTGACCAATCTGCATTGATTGGCAGAATGCCAGTGTGAAATGGGCAAATCATCCTCTGTCAGAAAAACTAAAACACTTTTTTTATTCAACTCTGAATCAATGAAAAGGCCTTTTTTGTGGGAGCGGGTTTAAATAATGATTTCCTCCGAGCTACATTTCATCCAATTCATAGAGGATTACCTCACGATGCCCCCTGTGTTTTAAATATACAAATAAAAGTCTGATGAATGATATGTGTTGAGAAATTGTGTTCTGCTCAGGGAACAGAGGCTAGAGTGAACTGTTAGGACCTTTTTTCCTCCAAATATAGGACTTTTCCTTTATTCCTCTATCTATCTCTGTAATAATTGTGTCAGGCAAAGGGTCAACATCAGGTATATGGAAATGAATCTTCATGACCATTCCCTTGATGGTTTTGCCAGGAAATGAGGTAACATTTGTCAGGAAATTAGTTGTTTTCATTCAGATTTAAGCTAAAGCTAATATTTATTGACTCTATACAGTGTAACAGGCCCTTGTGTGCACATGGGAGAAAGTGTGTGGTGCCGCCCCTTACACATAATCACATAGTAAGTATTCACTCAAGAATATGCAGCGATATTAACTGCAGCGGCACAGACCAGCTGAGTCTTGCTCATAATGGGAAACAGCCGACTGGCGTTTATATTTTCATTTTCCTTCCCCATTTTTAAAGCTCCCAATCTTTCCATAAGGTAGTCATTTCCAAGGCTGACGTGAAACCAGACACCCAGGAGCACTCATGGTAAAGGGCCAGAAACAACACAAGGCCGGGCCCGACATCCTCTCACCTTCCCCAATCCCCCTTCCCGTCTTGTGCGACTGTTCTTGGGAAGGTAAACACCTCGATGCCGTGTCAGAAACGGGATTTCATTTTGCTGTCAAGGCAGTTCCTTAATCTGGCCCACGTTTCTGTCCCGCCCTCTCTTTCTTCTCCTCCCCTCACTCTCTCACTGCTTCCACATCTGGAACCCAGCCTCCCATTTATTTATGTGGTCTGTGTTGTTCCTTCTCTTATTTTTTTTAAGACTTATTTAAAAGTCCTTTACCTTGTCCTGCTGGCATCTCCATCTGATGAGGTCTGCAATTACATCTTGCCATAGCTGGTCACTCTGCAATTACAGCTGCACCACAGAATCTTTCTCCCCCCCCCCCCTCTTCTCTGAGCTGCACCACTGCTCATATGGCAGACCGAAATAGAATAGTTTCATGTCTGTTTGGATGGCGGCCCAGCTGAAACTATGCTCTGCTGCTTGACTGACAGTGGGATGTGAGCTTTTTTCTTCCCAAGAAAAAACCTTTAAGGCCAGTCACGTTTAGACGTTCAGAGCAGTCTTACTCCGGCAGGCTTCGGTGGTGGTTGGCCCCAGCTGGGCTCCAAGAAGGGAAACTGCAGGGCAAGTCAGAGACAGAGTCAGTGTGTGTGAAAGAGAAGACAGAGACAGACAGTGTGCAAGGGGAGAAGACAAGAACCTTGAGCTGAAACTATGAACCCTCCTGGGAACACTTAATCTTTTAGTGGCTGACCATGAGAATGGGTAAGTTTGGAAACTAGTTCTGTCTTATCTCAACCTCTGGGAAAGGGGAAATTATGGCATGAATAAGTTTTGGACAACAACTTTTTTTTCCAGATAACTTAATATGCATAACTTAGTAGTACAGCATGTAGTACTCTATTAAAATATATGAACGGTAATGCAGGATATCCCTGTAAAATCATCCAAACATTCTCAGTGCAGTTGTCCACTGGTCCAGGGGCTGACAGACACTACAACAATGTACAACAGAGTATTTTCTAATTGGAGATTCAGTTATGTTGTTGTGCTAAAAGCTTGCAGCGCTTTCAAACTCCTGCATTTAAATGGGCGGTGAATAAATTGATGTCAAAGCCCTTTTTCTTCATGAGAGTGTTCTTGACCAGGGTCCAACTCAGCTTTTTACCACATAAACCTTGAAGATTTTCTAAAGATGTCAGTAGCATACTCACGTAAAAGCTTGTGATTTAAAAGGGCAGCGGTACTGATCATCTGGACTCTTAAAGGTCATATGAGCCCCTCTGGACAGGACGCTTAGTTTTTTTTTAGTTCAAGAGGTTTTTGAGTTTTATGCTTTACAGTACTACCTTGCAGGTGAAGTTCAGAAAAAGTATAATAAAAGAATATATAAAACCAACTCGTACAGACTGGAGTAAAACAAATAAAAACAAAAGGCAGTACAGTTTAGTAGAGTTAGAAATTAACTGATGCCAGTGATAATAAATCAAACTCTAGTAATCTGAAATATTGTTGGATATTTCAGTGACAATGGAATCATGTAACACTAAACACAGCAATAGCATACTACCGTCAACAATAGCATGAGCGTCTTAAAGTGGTGATGGCAATCATTTAGCAAACATATGGTGTTTCCGGCTACCTCTTCCACCAACTGCTAACGCAATGTTCACTGCTAGTCGCTAAGTTTGTCTGTCTGCTCAGTTGGCTGCAATGCAGTGGGTTTAAAAGAGAGTTAGCCAAAATGGTGAGTTGAAAGATGGTAAAACTGCTGAGTCATGTGATGGTGGACTCCAGCGTTTTCAAGTTCAGCTCCTCTTTGCAAACGTGCATTGGCATCCAAACGACAAAAGTTCTTGTTTTAGAAGGAAAATGGCGGTCACAATGTTTTGGTTGGTCTTATTGGTCTTGTTGCTCATGATAATCCTGCCCATAGCCCCTGACAAAAGTGTTTAATTCTCAAGACCAGCAAAGTGTTGGTGTCAGAGTCGAACCAGTTTTTCTGGATGAGAGTGTGTTCTTTGGCATGTTGAAACACAAAGAAATGGCTCGAGATAAAGCAGTGGCTGGTCCAAGGACTGGTCCTTGAACTGTCCTTGGTGGAAAAGGGGTAATGTGAGTATGCAACGTCAAAGCTAGTAAGATCAGGCTACACTGACACATCCAAAGCAACCTATACATCCAAACCCCTATTGTTTAAGCTATGACCCCAAAACCCATAAGTGTGCACTGACTGACAACTGCTAGAAGGAAACTTTTCTGTGAGTCTTGCAAACTCCTGACCATAGTCTTTGCTTCAGTGGTGTGTCTCTCCAGCTAAGGACTCCAGTCATGTGCAGTGAGAGCACTGTAGACAGCTCAGTTAGAGACAGACAGGCACGGCAGCCAGTCATTTCATTCTGTTATAATCAAATGATTGGTTGTTTATCACAGTCCTGTAAGGGCCACAGACACCATCTATTTTTCTTTCAGACAACTTTAGTTATTGATGTCTATCTGGAAGTGATTTCAACAAACAGGATAAAAAAGTTTTTCAGAAACAACTTAGCCAGCCTTTAAAGGACTCTACCAACTTTATTAAAACTTAAACCAAGTGACAACATTGTTATACTGAAATGCTTGCTAATTCTCTACCACACACTCAACCATTTCAGCTGAATGCACCTGTGTGTTAATCACTGACGTGGTACATGTTCGTAAACACCCATCTTGTGACATATGAAGGGTCCCTTGGGGATGCTGCTCAGTGTTCTCAGTCGGAAAATATGTTGTGCATTTGTTCTGAGTCATGCTGGAGCTGAAAACCATAGTGGCTGAGTGGAGTAGAGGCTGATCTGGTTTGAGTGGGAGTGGTGGTAGCTGAGATTGTGGAAAACAACAAAGATTACAAAGAGACTGACTGTAATGATGAGCACACAGTCACCACACGTCTTTACTACAGGCTTCTGTGTGTGTGATGTGGTGGTGCAGAGATGTGTGTTGGAGAGCAAGAGAGACAATTAGAGATCTGAGTGATGATGTTTTTTCCACATGTGCTCAGTGTGAATATCAGACAGTTAGAAATTAGACATTTGAATGGATATCTGAATATATTTAAAAAAATGTTCCTTGTTAAAAGCACATTATGAACTTCAACTTTGTTAGCATTGTTAGTAAGTGACTAGTCAATTAATAAAGAAGACTAGTAACAGGACAGAGGCACTTCAGGGGACAATGAGATTTCAGCTGGGGTCAGTGACCCCTTTGCCTGATTCTGTCCCTGCTCCAAGTCCACCACGAGGTTGACATCTCATTTTTCAGTCCTCCCTGGACATAACGTAAACATGGATCTTATGAATTTACATTCTGTGTCATTATCAGTTCAAAAACTTCTCCAGTTTGTTTCCATCAGCCTCAGCTCCTTGGAGTTGCTAAATAGCAAATATTGACAAGCTCTCATGCTAAAAAAAACCCTGGTCATGTTGGTAAAGCCAGATGAAGCATGATTGTGGTGTCAATGTGGCTGGTAGCATACTGATCTTTGCATTTTCCTTTTTTGAGGCAAATTTGAATGCTGTCTGTGGATTTTTACCTTCCATCAAACTCTCATTTGGTGTGTCATATCAATCACATGTTGGGATTTGACCTTGGGGGACATGGGGGGACATGAAAGACTTGATGATCTTTAGATGACGAAGCAGCTGAACCATCACCACTGTCTTGCTCTGTTCTTTTTTGACCTGTCTTAATCCTTACACATTGACAAGGCTTCCATTTGGTGACTGAATGCTTCACACAAGTTTTTCAACATGACTGAAAACATTTAGGTGTAATAATAACCCTACATGACGCCATCCAGTAAATGTGATGTATTGCTTTCCTAATTTCTCAGAGCAAATTACTACTCAGCATTACTTGTCTTAAGTTAAATAAAAACAGGTCCGTCCGGGAAACTGCTTTTAACAGCTAATTTAACATCAGTTGATGACAAGCTGTGACAACCGCTTCCTTTAAAAATCTGTATAGCACTTCTAGCTAATAATACATGACTAGTTGAGGGTGAATGTGGATGCACATTATGTTGCCATTCATTCTGCTCTTGCCTGCCTGGTGAACAGCTGAGGAGGGCGTGGTGTGGTTAACATGAACCGCACATGCAGGTGTGGCCCTCACTGTGCCGTCAAACTGTTTAATTAGGTTTTTTCTCCACGTGCATGAAATCTCAGAGTTTCCAATGTTTAGGACTGAGCTCTCCTCGGTCTAATTCCTGCAGTCATTGTCTGGAGATGTTTAAAGAGTTCAGTGACTGTAACACTGAGGGTGTAGCTGGACTTTGTGACTATAATTATGATTGGAAACCTGAGGCTACTCTTGGTTCCACACAACTCTGGGTTTTGAGGAACAAGTGCCAAAGCATTGTCTACTCAAACTATCCTGGTTACACTGAATTGGCTTCATGCTCATTATATCTGCTTTCAGAAACGCAATAACCTCCAGATACACCCCTGAAATTACCCAGAGTGACAACGCAAATGTCAATCAGTTGCTCAGGGAAATCTCCAGAGTTGTCATGCCAGCTCCCTTGTAAAAACTTGGTTTATGTCCGAATAGCCCCATGTGAGAAAACAGCAGGAGATTATCAGGAGGAGTCACAATGAGTGTGTTTGATGACAGTTCAAACACATGACGGGTGCAAATTTGAAGAAGAAGAAAAGAACATGTATACATACAGGATGACAAACAAGGGTCATAGAAGACACAGACAAAGAACTGAATGTTCTGGCGATTTTTCAGTGGTGAAAGTATCTGACAGGAGAATCCTGCTGCGTTGTTCATATGTGATGACAAACTACTCACAAAGTTCATGTCTAAAAACAGGTTATAAGAGACAGACTCATCCCGTACATTTGCTTCTATAACATCTTCCTTACAGCTGCTGACAAGATGATTCACATTCGAGGACTCTACACAGCTGAGATCTCACTCTCGGAGCTGTACAAGTGTCTGTCTCTCTGCATTAGTAGCCTCTTTCATCTGGATGATGTGGTTTCTTTCTCTCTTTGTTGCTATTTTTCCTTCCTCATTGTGCATGTGTGGCCCTGCTGGAGTCAGGACTGGGTCATTTTGGTTCTCCTCCCACAAGTCCCCCAGACGCTATTTCTCAAACAACGCGGCCTCAGTCTTCAGACTGTTTCGATCCAGAGACCAACTAATTGCAATTTCTTCGGGGAAAACAACAGCGTCAAGATTATTTTTTTCATTTTTTTTATTATGTTGCCTGTACTTTTCTTTACTATCTTACAACAAATGGAAAATCATACAAGTGCACAGCAGAGGGATTTTTAAGATGCTAAAAACAGACACGTGATTTGGTTTGATAACCCTACTATCCGAGCCAGAGCCTTGCATGTCATCAGTGTTGCAATGAGTGTAAATACAGTAATTAGTGCTTTGATATAGAGTATGGAATTGTTCATTTTGATGGTATTAAATGTATGAATTAATTGGAAGTTTTGCCAAGTGAAATATCACAGACGTACCTGCTGTTCTATTGCTGGATGTGGCAGTGAGTTCTCGTTGCAGACAGTTAGGCGTCTTTCAGACATGCACTGAACTCTGGACATGTTTTCTTCTAGAGCGGCAGTGCGTGAAAACGCAAATGTCCGAGCCAGTCGGTCCAAACTCATTCTGAAACATTTCCTGCCAGCCCACTAGCAAAACATTGAATACGTCAGATTGAGTCCATGATAGAATATAAAAGGAAAATATTCTGAAAACTCACAGCG